CTAAGTGTTAAACTATAAATGTTTATCCCTTAGTGCGTTGCTATAAAAATGTGTTTTGTTAGAGTGTACGAGTATATAAGAAATAAAAGTAATAACTGGTGATAATAAAAAGATTTAGAGTTAACAATGTTTAAACATAGTTGTACAAGAAATATATAATAAGAAAAGTCAATTATGGGTGAGATTTAAACAACGTATCACACAATTTTAGGGGAAACAAGTTCCATTTCAGGGGACACATATTTCGTGACACTCTCCCCACCTTTGAAAAATAATGTGTGTCCCCAAACATGAATAGGCATTTCCTAAAATTTAAAACAAGGTCTTCAATAACATTCATTAAAATATTCTATAACATACATATTCAGCATTATAAAACAATATTTAATCAAATTTAATTAATCTTTGGAATGTTCATTGTTCATATACGTCTTCACGCAAAGCTTGAATTCCGCACTGTTCTTTATGATCATTTAGTCTTGTAAATGTTCATATAGCACCAACATCGCTTCTTCTCATAACGATTGTTCATAAAACACAAGTTCTGTTTATTTTGACGAATGTTTATAGAGCACCGACATATCTTTTTCACTTGACGAATGTTCATAAAGCACTAACACATCTTCTTCGCGTGATGAATGTTCTTACATCAGAACTAATTCTGTGTATTTTGACAAATGTTTATAGAGCACCATCAAATATTCTCAGCGGGACGAATGTTCATAAAACACTATTGTACAATTGAATTTCCTGAAAATAAGTTACATATTTAAACAATCAATAAATGTAAGCAATATTAATAAAAATCTGAAATAAAATAAACGTCAATTTAAAAAAAATACTCTTTCCCTTATACAATATACATGGACTTTTATCTTTAAAAATCAAACTCAATAACCCTTGGTACAAGTATATCTATGTCTGCAACAATTAGACGGTGATACACAATTTTATTATCCGACTGCGTTGGTAATTCAGCAGTCCCCATCGGCATAACTACACTTCCATTAGCCATGCGTAAACCACTACGTGCATTGGATAACACTGGCTTTACACTCTTGGACATGATATTATACATGGATGAGTTAAGGACACTAACAGTGGACCCGGTATCAATCAAACAATTTAATTTCATGTCAATAACACTGACAATTACAAAATGTACATATATAAATTCAGAATATATTTATCTGATTCAATTTCTCAAAATTATTGGATTCTTCAAAATCATATTTAGTTTCGGCTGAAACTTGGTCCTCAGTTTCAGCCACTAATAGTTTCCCCGACCAGACATTTGGTCTGCCACTTTTCTTGGAATTAAGTTTTTAGTTCTGTTACCTTCTAACCTTTGGGTTCGGTTATTAAATAGGAGACATTCCCTTTTAATTACCGGAAAGCCCACAATGGTAACAAGAAAAAGTTTTTGTTTTTTTTTTTCTATTATTTTCTATTTTTGCAAGACGACCTGAAATGTCATCAACTTGTTCAGAAAAATAAATTTCCCTATTTAGATCAAAATTATCATTTTCATTTACAGCACAAACTAGCTTAGAGCCGTGTTTACGTCTGTCATTTTGGAATGCTTCATATTCAAGAGCTACTTGAATAGCGTTATTGATACTTTTTGCTTTGGCCTGGAAAATAGCCCATTCCATGTCAACATCATTTAGGGAATCAATAAAACAATCGCATGCTAATTGTTCTTTAATCTCTATCGGAGCTGATGGATACGCTAATCTTACTAGACGTTTTATGTCTTGGCCTAACACAGGTATTTGTTCCGTGCGTCCGCGTATTTTACTTTTCATTTGAGCCCTGTACATTTCTGCTTGATTTTCTGGTTGAAAACGAGACGCTAAGGCGGCTGTCAGTTGTATAAAATTGGTCTGCATCTCTGGTCTTAAATCGGTTAAAATACTTTTGGCTGTACCTCTTAAGCTAGTAGCTAGTTCTAAGGCTTTCTCTATGTCAGACCATTTGTTAATTGCTGCAATTAATTCAAACTGAACTAAATATTCTTCCTAATTACCCTCCCCATCATAAAGTGTTGGTTTCTTTTTGTAATATTTTGTATTTTGTAAGTTTATATCATAATCACGCTCAAAATTTGGTTCATTGCTAATGCCAGCATAATTTATATTACTGGTTATTTCATCAGTACGGTGTTCATGGTCGGTCCCGTTAACCACCACTCTGAATCGTCCGCGGGACGTCAAAGGTAATGCTTGGTACGTTGCCCCCTGATTATAGGGTACACCCCGGTCCAAAGTCCTAGGTAAATCTCCCAAATCCCATCTACCCCGTCGGGCATCGGATTCACAAGACGTCATGACTCGTCTTGTATTCCCGGAGTCTCCCTCAGCAGTATCCATTGCTTTCTGACTCCAAAACCCATACCTAGACCCTCTGGCAGCATGGTCCAAAAGAGTCCTTGACTCTTCCCCAAAATTCTGGTTTACCGTACGCGCTGCATTTTTTCCAAATGCACAACCGTTGCCCTATTTGAAACTTCCAGGTTTTTCGCTTGGTCAATGGCCACTTTCCTTGATGGTGATAGATCCCCTGACAATGGCCTATTGTCAGTATAATGTATACCATCCTTTTCGTATCTATTCGTATTCTCTTGTGAGGGCCATCGATCTTGGTTCACTCTTATGCCTATCTCTCCGGTCGGCGTCAGATCATGGAAAATTTCACAGGATCGAGATCGGGGGAGCACTGGTCTACCCTGGGCAGTTAACCTAGGTGTTTCAAATTTATTTTCCGCGCTATCCATTTTATTTATATTTATTTATTCCTTATCTTGAATATAATTACACTTATTTAAAGAATATAAAAATGTAGGTACGTGCCTCCGCTGCCACCACTGTAACGAAAGCCGAGCTGTCGGGCCTAAGTGTTAAACTATAAATGTTTATCCCTTAGTGCGTTGCTATTAAAATGTGTTTTGTTAGAGTGTACGAGTATATAAGAAATAAAAGTAAATCTTTGGTAGCGTGGTACTCTGGTATCGTGGTACTATGTGGTACTTTGGTATTCTGAATACACACTGGTAAGGTTAGTTTCTCTGGTAAGGTAATGACTCGGATATAAAAGGGTAGATTGGAGTATAGGTTTTTGTATGGTAACTCCTCGATGTTTGTAAGAATAACAGACTCGTTAAATAAAAATCAACTTGTATTAACTTTAAGATGCATTAAATATCAACAATACAAGGCAAATTGTAAATCAAATTCAATACCAAAAGATAAAGTTTCTCTCGAGAAGTTATTCTTTAAATGTAACGTGTAAAGGAATTCACAAACCCACATTAGACGTCGTCTCCTCGGACATTGTAAGTGTTGGCTGTCTGGTTACTACTTGGTCTGGTACATGGTATCTGTACGTATATCAAAATAGCTTGGAATTAGCGAGTGTTACTTGCCCAGGGTAAAATCGTGCTGAAGACTTATCTGTTTTCTCCGCCGTATTTATACTTAGGTAAACCAATTTACCGATTTGGTTTACCGTTTACCATTTTGGTTTACCATTTACCATTTCGGAAAATACCCAAATTATCAAAACCGGAACTGACGTCATTGTACGTCAATTGAAATAAACAATTCAGAAGTTTTCCGAATGTAAACACAAAGGCAAGAATAATAAAAAGTTTTAGAGTTAACAATGTTTAAACATAGTTATACAAGAAATATATAATAAGAAAAGTCAATTATGGGTGAGATTTAAACAACGTCATCACACAATTTTAGGGGAAACAAGTTCCATTTCAGGGGACACACATTTCGTTACAATATTATGCTTTAATTATTTTACATGAATGTAACTAAATAACGAACAAGAATCGACATCAGAAGCCAGGTTTGATTTAAAAAAATCTATGACATTGAGTAGAGTGCAGCAACCAAACAACCATATAGAAAGATATCAAGGTCAACATATCTGAAGGTCCTTTATCAAAGAAAAGTCTTTATACAATATCTAAGTTACAAATAATCCCGAATCAACATGCAGCATTGATTTGCATTAACAACTGCTAGTTTCTAAATTGGCATGTTTTTGTTAATTTTAAATGATGCTATTAATCTAATAATGATCATTCAGAATTTTTTATTCGGTTCATTTTTACATCAATATTTTTGTTGTCGACAACGCTGTAACTGAGATGGAAAACGCTTTTTAGATAACAGGATGCGATTTATTTTTGTTTGCTGAAATTTTATTATCTGTTAGTTTAGCAATATTGTGGGGTGTTCGAAAACAAATTGTACAACTGTTGAATTTTTTCGAAACACTAAGTTTGTTTTACCCCAGAATAGATAACCTCAGCTGTATTTGGCAAAACCTATCAGAATTTTTGGGTCTCAATGCTCTTCAACTTCGTACTTTATTTGGCCATTTAAATGTTTTTGATTCGAGCGTCACTGATGAGTCCTATGACGCACGGTCTGGCGTACAAATATTTAATCATGGTATCTATGATGAGTTTATTTACTTCTGTAACTATGGGATAAAAAGCCATGGTAATTTGATTGTTTATAAAACGACAAATCGACTTCCGTAATTTTTTCCCAAAGAAATATGATTGACCTTTAGAGTTAAGAGACATTGTGATTATATATATGTCTCTGGTATATTAAAATTATGATAAAGAGTTTTATATTTGTTTATATCTTTAAAGATAATATTTTTTTGCAAAAGTTATGCTTATTTGCAAAACAAACATTCTTGAAAAACACAAAGTACATTTCCCACACCAATTTAAATTAATATCAAAATATATAGATTTCACCTCGTTTATTTGGAAATAGTTTTGCAAAATAGTATTGTTGTAGCACGACATTCATGAAGGAATTCACACAAGGAAGCTTGTAAAACTATGTTATCGAAACAGAAATCACCAATGAAAATATACATACATCGTAGATAGCTTTAATAAAATTACAATATCCCAATAAATTTTGTCGTAATCTAGCAAATATTTAAACTGTTGTAATAAAATCGAACTTCAATGGACTTTTTTTAATTTAAGTTACCTGCATCAGTTTTAAACGGATACACAGAGATATACCTGTATTGATGATTACAATGTGTGTTCAAAAATCGTGAATAATGTATAACGATTGCAGGTTGTCGTCACAGTCATGATCGGTTGGTGATCAAACTTTATTTTTACGTACATTTATCCAGTATTGATATTAATTTAGCTCGTGGAATTTCTCATTAAAGAAGAAAATGTAAACAACTCCGATATGAGTAAAATATGGTGGATTTTGTTATTACTAATTTTTCATTTCAAAGGTAGGAAATCCTTTTTTTTTATCAAAAGGGAGTACAAAATGTTTCTGTTTTGGTCCTTGATTGATGAATTAATGTATAAAAGTTTTCTGACGATCAGAATAAAATAAAAAGATTTCCAACTTAATTTCGTGAAAGGAGAAGGTCCGGTAAGGGCTAGTTTTGGCCTAAAATTCGAAGTACATCTGATGAAAGATTTTTGAAATTTTTTAAACACTTAAGTGTCTACTTCAGTCGATTCAATTATTTTATGTAAAAGATTTCAACTGATTTGGTCATTAAAGACACTCAAATTCAAGCTTGAATATGAAAAATCTATCAAATATGCCATAAAACGTCACTTTTCAGATGGTTTTTGTCTAAAATGGAAGTGGCCGCTTTCGTGTTCAGTCTCAATCTTTATATATGTTAAGTATTATCATCAAATACAACGTATATTTGAATATAAAGACTGAACACGAATGCAGCCACTTCCATTTTCGACAAAAACCATCTTAAAATTAGCGCAACTGCAAAAATTGTGAAGATGTTAGTAATATTGCATGAATTTTTGATGCTAGTACCTTATACATGTGCATTGTATTGTCAAAAACAGCCGATATTAATGGAACAAAAGTATTCTACTTTTCAATAAATAGCTAAAAGTTTACATTTCAACAAATTTGTAAAAATGCTATATTTTGTGGCCGAAAAGGGGTCTTACCAGGCCTACTCCTTTGATATTATTTTGTGAGGCGATTATATTAACATCTGTTTGTTGATAATTCTTCCTTTGTCAGAATGTGAATATTTTCCCGATCAGTACAATTCGAAATTATAGAAAAATGAAAGATAAATGATTTTGTTCATTTAAACAACAATAGCCTGACTCGGTTTAGGTGAAAAAGAATATATGTGTCAGAAAAAAAGCTAGCCTAAAACCTTTTTCTCTCTTTCAGTCTTCGTTTTCATATGATATCAACGGATAAAAACATGGGTTCCAACGTAAAAATATGTACTAAAATTATATTTCTATATATTATTTCAAACAATTAATAGGAGCAGATCTAGGTTTTTTTGTGATAGATGGTACATTTTATTATAATGTGAGCTCGAAAATGTTAGCAATCAATGTGCAAATTTGATTTTATTAACAAACATGTTTTCTTAATAAAGTGAGAGCCTCTTAGGCCAGTCCATTTGAAATGGGAGTTCAAATACTTTAATGTTATTGTACAACGTTGGTTGACACATACAATTCAAATATAAGAAAGCAATGCCTCACTCCGCGCTGAAACATTTTCCCCGACAATAAAAAGATTATTGAATTGAATATTCTGACTAATAATCTATTCTAAAGATGAAAAGAATGGAATGCATTATATTATTACGCAACATAACCGTGTGGTAGGATGAAACCTAGTTTTCCTAAAAGAACCACCCTTAGTTTTACTTGTGTATACTTGGACAAACGCAATATAAGAAAATTATTCTATATTTTTTCATCTTAAATAAGACCAGAGTACGATGAGAGAATGTTTAAAAGTAAACCAAAAATAAATAAGTTCACTGTCTATGTGTTCTTTAGCAATATCATAAAATGTATATCCTTACTATAAGTATATTCAAATTACTGCAATAAAACTTACAAATAAACCGATATATTTTCGAATAAAGATTTAAAAAAAATTTAGAATCGATATTGAATATTAAATTCTTTTAACTATCTATTTGAACTGATAACGTTTTCTGTTATGTACTAGGAGCGTGCTCCTAATACACATCATTGCCATCATGGAAATCAGGAAGAACGATTTAAAACCACGCTACACAAGTTTAACGGTCGCTATCACGAATCAGTTGACCGATACGATGCGTCTTTATCTCAACTCACAAGTGACAAGGGATCTTGGATTTTAAGAACACAAGAATAAGCGGGTCGTCTAATATGAAAATTTGTCCGACTCCATGATTTGGCATATGTATATATAATACAAATTGGTCTTGAGTTAAATATTCTAGGTGCTGTGTATCTTTTTATATACTTTACAGTTTTCCCTCTTTTTGTCTGTGCTATAATGTTCCTTTTGGTAGAATGACTCTTGACGTGACTCGATAGATGTGCATCGAGCTATCGGGTTTTTTTTTTGCTTTAGACGTTCCTGGAGCAGGTGGGTCCAGAGGCGCGATTCCAATTTTTCACAGTGTTATTTTTATTTTGTTTACCCTTGTATTTACATTTTATTTAATGTGTACTAGTACGGCATTGTGTTTTAATGTACTATATGTACTATCAACTACAATAATGTTTTGTTGGCGTCTTTGTCAGATTGTTGGTATATTTAGTGTTTTTTTTTAGTCAGGTGTGTTGTATGTCTGCGTATGTTCTCACAGTTTTGGCTGCTGGATCACGATAATTGTCACATGAACCAATTATGTCTGTTTGGGTTGGTAACTCATTTTTTTCACGATATAACGGACCTATAAACAACTGTCATATTGCGGGCATGTTTAGCTAGTTATAAAACCAGATTTGATTCACCATTTTCGTCGGAAAATGCCTGTTCAAAGTCAAGAATATGACAGTTGTTTTTCTTTCGTTCATAGTATAACGTTTGGTATTGTAACTTTTTATGGTCACTTCCCCCTTACGGATTTAAATTGGAGTTCGGTATTTTAGTCTGGATTCAGGTGGTAGATGATGAATGCATATCAGTAGACGCCTACCACGTCAACGCAACTGGTCTAGGTCCATTTGGATTTCCTCAGATTGTTTACTCTTGTTTGTTATGCTCGAAATCGATTTACTATTTATGACATTGTTAAACTACTGTTGTATAAAATATGCATATTACAATATTAAAGTGATGACCATTTAGTGTATAATTAGATCATCAGAATCTGTATAGAAACAGCGTCTTTATCGAAAGAACTTGATAACCGGACCTGATTTGTTAGATATATTTCCGTTTTTTTAAACATTTTGCATGCTGAATAATATAAATAAAGGCAACAGTAGTATACAACTGTTCAATAGTCATCAATCGATTAAGCAAAAACAAATCCAGGTCACAAACCAAAACCGAGAGAAACACACCAACTATAAGAGGAAAACAACGGAACAACAGAAACACTGAACTGCAACAAAAACATACGCCAACATGCATAGAAACGGACTATTTGATAACAACTACTATATTCTTGACTTGGTACAGGACATTTTAAGAATAAATGGTGGGTTGAACCTGGTTTTATGGCTAGCCAAACTTCCCGCTTATATGGCAATGTTAAAAATACCGCTAAAATGACAACATAATAAACGCAAGAACACTCAGGACAGAGAAATACATAAATAAATGATATAATAGTACATTACTACATGTAAACCGCAGAATAACAACGGACACCTCCCATAATTTACGACAGTACACCAGTACACCACAATAGAATTATGAACTGTGCGTCACACGAATGTATCAAGGCCACAAAAAGTGACATATTTTTGTGACGTTTATTTTATCACTGGTAAATTTCTAAAAATAGAATATAAAATTGCGATTGAGTTTGTAATGGTGTTATTTGTGTATTTTCTAACCATTACAAGAATATTAATATGAAATTGTGTTTGTAATATAAACGGTTCCAATTTTTCTACACCAGATGCGCATTTTGACAATCAATGTCTCTTCAGTGATGCTTGAGGCCAAAATATTTGAAATTCAAAAGCGTATTAAAAAGATAAACCAAAAAGGACAAAAAAAGTATAGTCTAAGTAAATTTTAAAACACAAAAATCCGTTTTTTCATTTCGGTACTGGCTGGTGATACCATCGGGAACTATTAGTCGACCAGCCGAGGCATCGACCCAGTGGTAGTAATAACATAAATGGTACCAATTTTTCTGCACCAGATGCGCATTTCGACAATCAATGTCTCTTCAGTGATTCTCGAGGTCAAAATATTTGAAAACCCAAAGCTTATTAAAAAGATGAAGAGCTTTAAACCAAAAAGGACAAAAAAAGTATATCCAAAGCTGGACAAGGAATCAGAGCTTTGGATGAGGAAGACCTATTGCTTAATTTACAATAATTTCCAAACTTTAAGAACAGCAATTTTAAAATACAAAATCCGTATTTTCATACCAGTACCGAAGTACTGGCTACTGGGCTGGTTAGAAACTATCAAAGATCTCACATCAACGACAAACTATTCAAATAACAAAAACATTAAAAATCTTACGACACTATACTGACTAGGTTTCTTAACTGGGATAATCGCTTACAAAAGTTTTTGTCATTAACTATTTTGTTTACAAAAGCGAATTAATGTGTCTACTTAACTTCCGTATAGTGGGAAAGCTTGACTTCTCTTGTAACAAGTTGAAACACCAATTGTTTGTCTTTTTAGTATCTGGAATATCGTAATGTTATTTTTTGAATGTTTTTTGTAAATGATGGAAGGCGATCTTAATGATAGATTCTTGGTAATTTCTAATGAATTCACAACAATTAGACATAGGACTAGGGAATGACATTTTTAACAGCAACCGTAAAAGATTTGTTTATTTATCATTTTCGATGTTGTATTTTTTTATTCTTATAACAAGGGTATACATTTTGCATTTGGTGTATTGACGTTCTTAAATTTGTATGTATTAAAAATCAAAAAAAATAACCCACTCAACATGTTTATACTTTTAGAGATCAAATGTTTGTCATGTTATTCGTGCATAGAAGGTGAATCTAATATGAGATGTAATGTCGCTGGAACAATTACATGTGATTTCAATCAAACGTGTTACACAGAAGTCACAAGAAGACCTTTAGTAGTAACACGGTATACAAAAGTAAGTTAGAAACTCAAATAGATAGCTTCAAAGAGTAGAGCTTTTTCTACATTTGTTGATTTCCCTTTATGCATAAAGCAATATTGGTTTTAGGATGCCTAACGTTTTGAATGCAATACTAGTGCTACGACAATATATGTGACCATGACTGAGAAAATGGGCCCAGATTAAAAAAAATAAAATTGAGAATTGAAATGGGGAATATGTCAAAGAGACAACAACCCGACCAAAAAGCAGATAACAGCCATATTTTAGTTTCTTGTTTTCGATTTTGGGAGCCCAATTATCATGAATAAAATTCAAGTGTAAAAATTTCAAGGAGATAGCATGAGTAGTTTCTGAGAAAAAATCCATTTCATGAATCGTAATTTTCATGTTTCTTGGAAATAGATTGACAAATTGATCGCATTAAAAACTCGTGACTTTTCTTTGAAAGGTGTATTCTTCTTGTCTTATAGTTTGAAATAGTATGAAGTATTTATCATAATGTTTTTTTTTTTTACTATTAATCGGTAACCATTGCAACCAATTCTTTTAAAAAAATTCTTAAATATGACCAGTTTGTGTGTTGAATTGTAAATTTGGGAGAATTTTAAATTTCAATATATAAATGTAAAAACTGGTAAAAATGGTTTCTTTTTATAATTAAAAACATATAGGATATGGGATATATTCTTATATTTATTATAATAACAAAGGGCTGACTTGGTAGAGAAAATACATTTTTATTTTGAAATACCGGTAGCTAAATTTTTTCTGATGATTGTCTCATGGAAGCTTACAATACATCTACTTTGACTTTCTTATATTATGTCATTTCTGATAAATACATAATTGTTTTATTTGTTTACTTCATTGTTTTCGTATTCGTATTCATAGTACAGCAAGAATTGTCTAATAATTCAAATAGTTTTCACTGAAATATTTTTTGTTTTTTATTTAATTCAGCAGAGCCTTTTCTCTTCCTCCATTGCCTCTGACAGTTGGTTTGTCTTGTTGTGTTTAGTATATTTCCTTTTTAGGAACAAGCGGTTTTTTGACATGCTATGTTCTTAGCTGAATCTGAGTAGCAGTACTGTCTTATCTGCTTATAAAAATACCGGTACCTGGAAAGGTCGAGTCCTTTGATAGTAAATTGATGTGGAAGCACATCTCTTTGTGGAGTTTTAGTTTTGCATTTCAGTAAATTGAATGCATATGATTCTGCTGATTCATTTTCTCTGCATGTTACTACTCCTGGGTGTTGTGAATTCATATAAAAAATGGTCTTAATCAGTAATATATTATCAAAGTTTTAAAGTACTGTAGCAAATAAAGCTTCCATTCATAAAACATTACAGGATCTTGTATATCTCCTACAACTTGTGGTATGTTGTGTCCATTTCTGCTGGACCTTGTCACAGTTTCAGGTAACTGTGATAATATAAAGAAAAGTAAATCAACTGCAAGAATTGTTTTAATAAATAATTTAAGAGATGAACACATACATACAGATTTAAAGAAAGTAAATTTGAAATGATGCCTTAACAGTAAAATACTGCAAGACATCAAAAACAGAAGACCATAATATGCAAGTTAGATAAATCTAGAACAACAAATACATAACTTTAGAAACTCAGTTAATTAAAAACTGTGTATGACATCTTTGCTTGAATGTATTATGATAGCATTTTGTGGAATGTGCATAAAAATAAAACATTATTATTTTATGTCATTAATTCAAGGAAATAAACCAAGTTGCCTATGTGTAAGAGTTATTGCCCTTTGATCAATATTGAATAGGTGAAAAGTTTACTAAAAGAAATAACAAGAAAAAAAAACATGAAAACCTTTATCATCAATGACAATAGTTGATCATGTGATAATGTCCATTCTCAATTCTATTTTATATGTTAAATCGTAGTTTTAATTCATATATTAACTACTATTATCTACCTCTGATAATTTTTCTGCATTGAATTTCCCCAGTGTAACTTCCAAACACCAAAATTCTAATCAGGCTCAAACTTGGTATGTCCTGCAATCATCATTGAGTATTCTATGCTTTTCTTTAATCCTATCAAAACAAGAATAAAACTTCTATTACTAACAAAATATATTTAAAAAAGACAAAAACCAAAATGTGAAATTTAACAAAATAACAATACCAAAACAATTGTCATACTAGAAATGAAATTACATTTACAATGAATATTATCTGCAAAACATATCTTTATATATCATTTATAAAAGAAGTAGTTAATCTTTTGGAAGTTGATTGCATGAAGTGTAAATTTTAATCACAAAATTATCACAATTACATATTCAGCATAAATTGCTTAGTCTTAATATATAAATACAAAACAAACAATACTGAATGTACTTTATGGATTTTGCTAATTATTGAAAGCCGTCACCTAAAGTTGCTTTCATCTACGTTATATGGTCTTCGGTAGATTGGTGTATCATTGAAAATAATACCACAACAATTTATTTTTATAAAGTTGTTTAGAATTATTTCATTTTATTTTCATGTTGGTTCTTATTATTGTTATTTTGTTATTTTGAATGAAGATAAGCCAAAACCTTAATATATATATACAGCATGTTTAACAGCACATAAAGAAACACATTGATGCGACCTACTAGTACACGACTTTTAATTGGATTCTTTCACAGTTGATTATTGTGAATTTTTTATTGAACACTGTAAACATAAGTCTGTATGGTATCAAAGAAATAATTTATACAGAAACATCAGAAAAAAGTAAAAAAAAAACACTATACTCAATGGAAAATTCAAAACGGAAAGTCCCTTATTACATTGCAAAATCAAAAGCTCAGACACATCGAACCAATAGAAAACAACTGTCATATTCCTGACTTGGTACATGCATTTCCTTATGTAGAAAATGGTGAATTAAACCTGGTTTTATAGCTAGCTAAACCTCTCACTTGTAAGAGTAACTTGACAGAACAGTAAGACAGTGGGTGAGAACAAAATAGTAGATTTTGTACTTTAATTACAGGAATCTAACATAGAATTAAAATGACTCCTGAATTTGAGTGAAGTCTAAACAAGTTAAATATAGTATTGAAAACCATTAAAAAATGTGCAAAATCTGATTTCATATTCCTTTTCTGTCTTTGTAGGGATGTATGGACATTGTGGGATGTTATACAAAAATGAATCTGAATGATAAAATGGCTTGTGATGAGACACCATCTAAGTGTACTTATTGTTGTACAACTGACATTTGCAATGCTTCAAACAAATCAACACGTATTCAAATAATGAAAATATTGTACCCATTAGTTTTCATATTTATTCACTTCAGGTGGACGTTTATATAAGTAAAAATCCGAGACAGATTTTAATTTCCTTTATTCAACTATTTATTTTTATAATTTTTACATAAAAAAAGGTCATATAAATTTAAAGGTGCTTATATGTAATAGAAATGTTAATTTAAAAGTGCACACATTTACTGTAAATATAAAAGAGAGGCGCAAGATACCAAAGGGACATTCAAACTCACAAGTCGAAAATAAACTGACAACGCCATGACTAAAAAAGAAAAAGACCAACAGACAAAAAACGGTACACAAAACACAACATAGAAAACTAAAGTCTGAGAAACACGCACCCCACAAAATACTGGGGGTGATTTCAGGTGCTCCTCAAGGGTAAGCAGATCCTGCTCCACATGTGACATCCGTCGTGTTACTCCATTGAAAATGGTACGTTATATCAAGTGATAAGGCATCATGCAATAGCGTATTGGTAATTGACTCTTTATCTAACCCGTAGAAAATCACCAAGTTCATATACCATCAGTCATGTAAATATTCTAACCCTGAAACATAACCGAATGTGAAATTTTGAAATTGAAACAAATTTCATTTGACGAAGGATAGACAAGATTGTTACCGAAATATTCATCACATACATTCAAAAAATAAAAAGCGCAAAGAACAACACTAAAGACTAAAGCAAGAGCAACACGAACCCCTTTAAAACAAAACTAGAGGTGATATTATTATATATACGCAATGTAAAATGTAAATTACATAAATGCAATGTTAATGTAAAGATGCAGATAATTATGTAATATTAATGTAAAATTACGTTGTCTTCGTTATCATGATCATTATTTTGCTCATTTCTATAAAACCATCAGATAAAAAGAAACTTTTGATGATTTGTTTTGTGTTTTATAAAGACTTGTTGGTTTTGTACGTTTGAGATGCTGACACAGTTGTACATTTTGTTTTGTTTTTTTACCTGTGCAGCTGTATAATTATGCAACCACTTCCATTTGGGTTGATGATGATGATGGATGACTGTTTAACGTTCAGTTGCATATTAAATGCATATTCAGGATGAAAACCTGTTTATCATGATGCGAAAACGCCGAAACGCTGAGTCGAATTTTGAACGTGCTAGTTCACAAGGTAACAGTCCACAGAGAGACATATGACCCTACACAGACACATTATTCTGACTTTAAGCCGACCAGTCTTTGATCTTACTCATACGTTCTTAGCGGAGAATCAGCAAATTCCTTTATGAAGTCATCGATTTGACTTAGGTGTGGACCTAACCCATGGACTGCTGCACATGAGGCGATCACACTTCCAGAAGACCATCGATGTGGTTCCATTTGTATGGAGAACCGAAGTTACATTTTGGAGTTCACGCGATTCCCTCAGTTTTTGTTTGCTGCCTTGCTTTGTCTGTTTTTAATCAATTTTCGAGATTTAAACACCGATAAAGTACTGACGTAACGTCCTGGCATTAAGGTTTTTCAGATGAAAATTAAAAAAGGGTACATATACTTATGTGGGAAGTTATGAAGTTTTAGAGAAACAGCTGTTTTAATAATAACTAAAATGTGATAAAATGAAACGAAGACAGCAGGTTGATGCACGTGTCAAGAGTAAAGAAGCTCGTCGTGTTGATATCTCGATAAAGTTTGCTAATTATTGCTTCGCTTCACGGTACGAAGCTATTATTTTCACACGATATTCACGACATCTTGAAATATTTAGGAGGCAGTTAGCATAAAATGGCTGTGTAGGAAAAAATACATGAGGATATCCATATGTTAATAAATATTGCGTCAAAAATGACTGGTAAAAGTCCTATAACTCTGGAACGACAAACCATAAAATTTTCAAAATGCAATGCGAGTCTAGATTCACCAATACCAACAACAGCGAAGAGTTTGTGGCAAATTGATGCAAGCATACTACATCTCGTGCATCATATGTAGAATATTACCTTTTATTAATCTGACCGTCAAAGTCCCATAACTGGGAAATAACAGATCATAAATTTTCAAAATCAAACGGTATCTCTGGATTGGACGCCATAAAAGAATTTTAACATCAAATAAGCTATCTGCTATCAATCCTAATGTTCCGTTTAATTTTTGTGGGATTTGTTGAAGCAAATTATATATTTTTAGGAAGTGTTCATGGATAAAGAATACCATAATACGTCCCATCTAAGACGGGCTTAAAATACCAAGCTTATGAGTATGTGCACACAGAAGATACATATCACCTTACTTAAACAACCGCATGAACCACGTCTTACTTATTGATGTTCGTGTTAGATCTTTGGCAATCTTTGTTATTATCTAGACTTTAATTTTGTGTTTGAGATATCGAATTGAAAATTGTCTTGCATTACATCCTGTGTGGTACTTGATGTCCTTTGTTTGCTTTTTGTTGTTGCTTTGGTTTTTTTCTTAATTGCTGTATGATTGATCATCACTTTTTATATCAGCACAGCACGCTTATATATTTTTGCTTATTCATTTTTCCTTTAATGTGGTGTTCAACCTTAATTCTGATTTCGTAATTGTGATTTCGTGCATTCATTCGGGTAATGGTCATTCATAATATGTAGAACCGGCCACATTGATTACTATTATCACCATGTTTATATTTGGAGACATCCTTATTTTGCTTGTCCTACTTTCCACAAACAGATGGTGATTCTACATGTGTCATACGATATACAATGATGCTATATCCATCGTTAACTGTGTTCATAATTACAAAGAGGTTATAAAAGGACCCTTAATTGTTCTGCTTTATACCAACGTCAGTAGATAGTATTTACTCCAGTAATTACCTCTGAAAGTGGAGTTTTTGTCTGGATCTGATTTAGTTTTCCGTTAGAATTCTTTTGGTATGCTTGATGTTTAATGAATTTTGAATGTGTTGCATAAAACAATACCAAAACATTATAAGTGACACTAAATGACAATATGTACCTTTTGAAAATATATGTATATTCTTAATTTCTGTGACCTTTTATCGTTTTTATAATTTTAACTGACCAATAACCTCTAGATTAAAAAACAACTACATTAATATTTATTTTTTGGATAAACCCGTATAACTAAGTTTATGCATGTACATCATATGAAGTAAAAAAATTAACAGTAGAACATGTACATGCATGTGTATAGGCAACATAAAGTAAAGACTACACATGTTAAGTGCATTATGGCATTAACTTGGAATAAATTGTCATATACCTGACTTGATACACAAAGTTTATAACCACTGTTGACAACGAAAGAAATGCACATCAAAATCCAGCAAAGTGCTGCAGTATCTGACATACATAGTATATTGAACTTTATATCTAGGTCCTGCCACGCCTCAAAACTTTCCCAGTTGCGCAGGTTTGTCTGTACTCTTGGTGTAAACAGCATTTTTTTGCCATGATGATCCTCAAAATTAATTTATTGGTACTTTAATGACAACGCGAAGACCATTCAAAGATTTCAAAATGTATGAGATATTTTGCTGTTGACAGTTTACAAAAGCAAAAGTGTATAATTCGAAAGAAGTAACTTTCATATATAAAAGCTTTCTGACATTGTTATTTATGCATGCACACTGGACATTTCATTTTATCAGAATTTATTTCTTTTAATTTTTTCTTTTAATTTTAGCATAGTTTGCTAACCGGTAATTTTGAATTAAATACAATTTTATTGAACACCGCCGCAATCTAAATGTTAATTTTTTTTTCAACAAAGATCTACTTTTTACAGATTGAATTGAAAAATGGGCGGATTATTTGTACAAGGCTGAATTTAAATTATCTATCGAGGAGATAAGATGTCACTACAATTTGAAAGAAAACTAATAAGAGATATTTGCTTATAAGAGCAGTAGTAAGCATGTTTATACTATATGTGTGTAATTTTATTTCGTATAGATCATATATATATATATGTGTGTGTGAGTGTGTGTGTATTTCCCATCATGTTCACTATAAAACTTTATTTGTTGTCTAAAAATTTACTGCCGGCCAAAAGACATACAGTTACAAAACTTAACAAGTAAACTCAAAAGAAACCCTTCTTTTTTAGATGGTAATAACTGATTCAGCAGATTTAAGAAAGAAGATTCGTCTGCAATTTTTCATTCGGCTCCGATGAAAAACTTATCCCTCTGGTGTCGGCGATATTGGTAGGCCGTACGTGCCAAAATAACACTTAACAAATTCCAATGAAATACTGTTCTGTTGCCAATGAAATACTGTTCTGTTGCCAATGAAATACTGTTCTGTTGCCAATGAAATACTGTTCTGTTGTGTTTGGTATACAGTGGTTCCTAAGCATATATTGTATCTTAGATGTTTCAGTCAATAAGAAATGCAACTATATTGGTTGAGTTTGTAATCCGATCGGTACGGAAGTAACCAAATGTCTTGCACAAGTCCAAGTCACAAGTCTGTCTAGTTAGTTTTTGAGAAGTTCCGATCGCTTACGGGTAATGGGTAGTGGACGGACAAAAGATGATAAATATTGACACATGATCGCACGACACGTATTCACTTCAGAGATAAATATAATGGTATTCATGTTTACAAAATTTTTATAAATGTTAACTTTAATGGAATATTGGATTTTTGTAATTGATAGAAAACTTATTGATAAAAATGTATAATTTTATAGAAACAAAGGATATGGGGTATCCATGACAAAAATTAGTACATGCACAGCAAAAAAAAAACACACAAAAAGCAAAGGAACAGCGCTTTTATTGCTGTTCTTCATCTCAAAATCACAGTGAGGCCTTCAACACGGAGCAAACAAACTCTCATCTCACTGCAAGTTTAAGACGGCCCCTAGCGCCAGCTTGAGCGGAATTATTTGCAAAAATAATTTGGATAGACTTCGGGCCCGGTCAAAAACGAATATACTGGAAAGTAGTACATATCTAAAACCAAATAGTTCCTAAGCATAGGTGTAAATTAAAAACTATGTAGAATATATTTTAGTAATTAAGGTATCAGATGAAAGGTGAAGGAATGGTGATCCTTATAGAATTAACACATGAAACTGCCTTTATACTGCAATTTGTAATATTTCTGCTGCAAATAAATGGCATACGTTCTTACATTTTTTCCCTGAAGTTTTACTGAAAGTCTATGGTTATATTCCCTTTCGAATATGCAAAGAAAAATATATCACATTATGACATACCTTTCGAGATATTTTCGTTTGGTTTTTGTCAAGCTTGGGGTAAAAACACAATATTTTGTTCTTCAATACTTTTTTTTTTAATCAATAACACAACTTTCAAACGAAAACTTTTGTTTTTGGTTGTTTTGGCTCAGATCTACATAATGTTACCACCGATTTACATATCATGTGTGGGACTATACCTTTGGTGAATTTCATACAGTTGGTCTATACTTTCTTTGAATTCTTCTAAATCATCATTCGTCCTGAACATGCATGAAATATTTGTAACTGGCCATTAAGCAACCAAAAATTAATGAAGCTAAATCATGACACCCTATAGTTGGCAAATTGACAGAGATTACAAAAAGTGGCATCTGATTTTTGTCTAGTAGTTCTACACATTGGATTCGTTCATTTTCGTCTAAGGTTGTGTAAATAAGATGGTTGATTTGTTTTTTCCATAGGATTGCCATCCCTCATATCCGAGAATGCCCAGATTTAATTCAAAGTGGAATAATAAATGTTTCTTAATAAGAATAAACTTTTTATTTTTTTCAAATGGCTTGTTAATAAAGGGTACAGCTGTTCTGTAAGCAGTTACTGCGGTGGTTTGGTTGGCAACTACTTAAGGTCGCTGGAACGTTTTTTCCGTCCAAAAAAAAAATGACCACTATTGCTGTTGTTCAGGGTTTGCTGATTGATTTCAGGGAATGTAAGGTGGATAACACTTTACGGTATCAACTTCAATATAAATGCTACAGGAAAAACAATGGGAAATGCCATAAAAGTACCGACAAAAAAGAAAACGGATATCCATTTGCTTTAGCTTTTAATTCTCAAAAAAAAAATAAGAATAACTTTATCAGTTAAACATATTTCAATAAAGCCTTGGTTTGAATGTCTCATCACAAAGAAGTTTATATCCAAAACTGTGAAGGTTTTTTTTATTACTAAATCGGGTATAGAATTAATGTTACTTGCTTACACTTCATTTATTTCTTACAGTTTAATTGGCCTACATGATGGTTAAGCTGTATAAGTATCATAAAACAACGAAACTTGGACTATTCTGATAGTGTTGCCACCTACAGCAAGTGAAAAACATTCCATTAGATTAGCTGAAATTTATTCTATAGGCCTTCTATACAATGTACATTTGTTTCGTTAGTTTGTTGCTGTTACTGAGAACATTTTCATGAATGAGACGAATTTGGCATTTAAAAGACGTATGTTGATCACATTTCTATAGCAACGGTTTCTATGGAAGAAATATCCAAGAAAATATTTTGATCTGTTTTGATGTTGCTATAAAATGAAATCTACATGACATATATAAATTAGATGGAAAAATGATTATAAATGTGTGAATTTGTTTTATAAAAGTGCTAGCTCATTTTCAGGGGTTTCCAAGGGGTAACTGGAAAATTTATCTTTTTCCCTTAGAATTTAGGATGAAAATAGAACTTTATTTTCATACCCAAATTATGTATGCACAAATGAAGCATATGATATTTAATCAATTTACAAACACGGACTTACCACTGTTGTGTCATACAGTATAGTTTGTGTCTGTCTGTACGCGCTTTTTTCCAAATATATTTTTGATCTTCATTTACAAATTTAAATTAATGAATAGATTTTGATCTAACTAAAACACTTTAATATGCAAAACGTAGTACATCCTTTATTCTGTTTATTTATTTAAGGTTGTAAGAAAGATGCAAAAGACACAAAAGGAACAGTCAAATAAATAAATAAATAATGTATTTCGGCCAAACTTTTATCTCCTCATCATTTCGCATTTAGTATTATTAAGATGAATTATGCATGTCTCAAATTGAGAACTAACTGTGCGATATTTTGGCGATTCCTATTGTGACTTATTATGTATTGTTAAAGGAAAGAATATGCATAAAATTAGAAGTATTAAAGAATAGAAAAATAGATAAACTGCTGCACTTCTGACACGATCTATAACGGTTTAAAAAAATCATATAATTGGTGTTTGTGCATCACAAAATTCTTCACTTCTAATCACTGCTGGTTGACGAAAAAGTCCACGAAAGTGTCAAAGACAAGTGTTACGAACTTTATTTAAAACTTTTAAAACTCGGATAAAAAAAATTTCTTTCACAGTTTACCTTAGTCCTTAATTTCTCTGCTGTTTTGTTTCTTCTAAATGGTTTATGCATTTGGTTCCCAAACTTTGGGTATGAAGTCTTAAGAGATGAAGACTATTGTATATGTAGGTACACGACACTCGGGTGCACTGTTATTGGCTGTGTTGGTATCTCCAACATCTAACCATTTGAAATAATCGCCATCAGTATGCATACGATGTTTTCGATGAAATTATTATTGTTTTCGATAAAATTATTATTCGCTGCATGAAGCTAGTTACCTACTTTAATCCTATTGTGTCAAATAATAAGATTTATCGAACATATGTACATGTACCTCATTACACTGTCAACATTTAGGACAAAGATAAGCAGAGAAAATGGCTGTAAGGAATTTAGCCGCCGTATTACATGGCCCATTAGATATACGTTTGGTATGTTGTACATAATTTTATTTGTTCATACTTTATGCCCGATTCAATTGAAGCGGTTGCATTTTCAGCTAAAAGTGTACATTATATGTAATAAACTAAGCACATGTTCAAGGAAAATCAATTCTTTATTTACATGTAAAAAAAAGAATCCCTGCCTTATACCCGAAGATGTTTATGAAAGATAATTGAACTTTACCAACTTTCACACAATGTATAGGCTGACATTTGGCATATTTGTTCAATGCTGAAGGTTTGTTTATATAATCATATCCCGATAGTTGTCAGAATATGTAAACAGCGAATCTTGACACATTTACCTTTGAATACAGTACATACGATCTTCTTGTGTAATATATAATTTCATTTATATAACGGTAGTGTTGACCTATTTAACGGGATTAAAAGATTTATATAACATAATTTATAACAGGTTTGGTGGTTTGATTATCCCTTTCTACTTCACAAAGGTCTCTATTATTATATTTATAGTCGAAATAGCACAAATGCAGTATAAACAATGTCATTTAATCTTAAAATTGGTTGAACCTCTGTAATATGTATGATGTATCAAGATTAATGTTTTGGAATTTTACGTTTTAAATTCTTGCAACACGCCTCAAACGTCAAGCAGAGTTATTTATCGATCAGATATTTTTACGAAAAAAAAGAGCCTGAAACTCACCCAACACCTATTAACGAATGACTGCGTATTTGTCTTTCTTGACATTCAAGCAGATGTCGTATCAGCAAGAGTTGTCGTAAGGGGTCTTTTACGCACGCAAAGCTTATAGTACTCCCTCCGATATGATTGGGGGTAGTTCCTATTCGGAAAAAAACCTGCTTCACACGGCCAATTATTGTTTTAAAGAAATAACTGATTAAATCACAAGCTTGTTAAGCAAAAAGACGGGCACAAAATCAATATATCGCCTTCTTTTTATGAAATTTCATTACTGGTGCCTTCCCCTGCTAAAATACACAAGTGAAAGTTTTCTGCTCAATACGCGAAACATGGATTTGTGTGAAAAAAGTATTAACGATGGTTTAGATAACTATCTGAAAATACTTGAAACTTAAAGACTTTGTATACTAATGTTGATACATTTATATGAATGTTATATTTAATGGGAACGTCCCAAAGACTTGAACTTCCCCCTATACATTGCTAATTTTGTCCCCTCTCCTTTTCCGTTGAATGAATCAATTATAAATGGCTCAAAAAGTGTTTGTTTACAGATCCCATCATTTGCGAATTTGATTGCAATGCTTGAAATGTAAAAAGGATTGAAACCATTTTTTTCTAAAACAGTCTATACCTCTGTTAGAAGGAAAACAATGCGCGAAGGTTATATCTACAACAGGAGTTTTTAGAATGCCACTGTCTTTATACCAGAAGTCGGATATTCCCTTGGTCTCTTGGTCTAACAACTTTGAAGATCCAACAAGTTTTGTTCATGTTCCAACTATACATAACACTAGGCCGCGATCAACTTATCGTCAATAAATATGTTTTTTATTTTAGGAAGACAGAGAGATTCCAAAACCTGGATATAATGGTTCGTATGTTTGTTGTGTCCAACTTATCTATATTCATAAGCTTATTCATATAAACAAGCTTTCAAAAAAGTTGTGGGTAAAATCACGAATCATTCCATTACAACTGCAATTCTCTTATGACTGACATTTAAACAAGTTCAAATCATCAAAAAGTGCATAATTTTGGTGTCTTTAGGTTATCTTGAACACAAGACTTGTCAATGATTATAAAAAAATCGGTCACTTGTTCCGTTGATTGATAGCATTTGATTTTGTCAGTTTTATGGACTTTCCCATGTTGAATTTGCACAGGCACTTGTCTCTGAAAAAAAATCCTATATACCTTAAGATAACACAAGGTACTTAACTCGCATTTTTGAAAATGTCATCCGGTCGCGAAATTCCGTTATATTTCGATTTCTCAGGTGGCAACCCCACTAAAACTTGTTATGCCGTAAATCTAAATTGATTTATCTACACAATGGTGTATAACACGCCTACCTTTGTTGTCGGAATCATTCGTAGCAGGCCGCCCCGAGTATGTCAACCGTAATTATTTCGTCTAACAACAGCCGATTTGAAATATAAGACTCGCAGTAAAAGGTATCTTCACCCTCTCTTTATATATCTCGGTTTCCGATTGGTCAAATTTTATGGGAAGGTCTATTGCTAAAAATAAATGTTTCTTAGAGTTATCTCATTTTATATGTAAAATCCAAAGAGAGTCTGAATGACATTGATGGAATGGGAAAATTATTGTCTAAAAATAGAAACTCGTAACTCATTATACATACCTCAAATAACACTTGTTAGATTTTTCTGTTAGGTTATTTGGAAATACTTTTTATAATTCATTTACTGCGAGTCTTCTATTTTCCATCGCCTGTTGGTAGACGAAATAATTACGGTTGACATACTTGGGGAGGCCTGCTACGAATGATTCCGACAACAAAGGTAGGCGTGTTATACACTAATCAATTTAGATTTACTGCGTAACAAGTTTAAGTGGGGTTTACAACCGAGAAATCGAAATATAACGGAATTTCGCGATCGGGTTATATTTTTAAAATATGCGAGTTAAGTACCTTGTGTTATATTAAGGTATATATGATTTTTTTTTCAGAGACAAGTGCCTGTGTGAATTTCCCTTGGAGTTCGGTATTTTTGTTATACTTTTTTACCGAAATGTTAATTTAGTAGGATTAATACTTACCATATTTAATATGAATTTTGTTTCCAATTTGTGCACGATTTATTTCGTTTACTTAAGCTATCATCTTACGTCTAAATAGGAGCGAGAAATGCTCATGGAAACACAACATATTTGACAGAATGTACTGTTCTTCACGAAACTGTCATCTTTAGAAATATAGTCTGTAATCCAATGAACATCTATTTCACCTATCAACCACAAATAATTAGAGGAATGTCCAAACCAATTTAAGCATTGTTTTCCAAAAATCGTACCAAACTTTTGAAGGACAATCAAGGTTAAACCCTAGAGTCAGATGATAATCGTAGAAAATTCATGGGTCTATTAAGTACTTTACAGTATGGGTTTTGCTCAATTTTGAAGGCTCTAAGTGTCTTGGAGTTGTTTGTATCTTCCCTACTAGGTCTCTGATTGTTATTTGTCTCATTTTCAATCATATCAAATCTCCTTATTTTTTATGTAAAGGTTAGGATCGACTTTAGCCTTGATAGGACAAAACGAAAGGTTATATTCAGAAAGAATTTTCTAAGGTTTTTTAATGTTAACTCTTCATTATCTTTTCTTGCAATAGGAAAATCAAGCATATGTTACTTTTGCATTAAGTCCTTTGATTTACCCACACGTTCTTAGATTTACCCACACGTTCTTTGATTTATCCACAAGCACATTAATTTACCCACAAGTCTTTTGAGTCCTTTTATTTACCCACAAGTCCTTTGATTTACTTACATGTCCTTTGATTTATTCACACGTCCCTAGATTTACCCACAAGTTCTTTGATTTACTTACATGTCCTTTGATTTTCCCAGAAGTCATTTGATTTACCTACAAGTACTTCGATTTACCCACAATAACTTTGAAATGTCCCGATCTTTAATATTTCTTTTCTTTTTCTGTCGCTTATTTACCTATCCTTGCCGACCTCTTCTTATTTTCATATGAGTCGGAGTTCCTTCAGACACCTGTCAAAAACAAGAAGATCAAAGAAGCCTGATCATTTAATGTCACATTCAGATATATTGATGATGTTCTTTCCATTAACAATCCAAACATTTCTGATTGGGTTCCATTAATATATCCTCCAGAACTAAAAATTGAAGAAACAACAGACACGGCTTTCTCCGCCTCATTTTTAGACTTATACCTCGAATTTGACATAAGCGGTCATCTCAGTACCAGAATCTATGACAAACGAGACGATTTTAATTTTGAAATTATCAATTTCCCCCACTTTAGTAGCAATATACCAACTTTACCTGCATATGGGATATACATTTCCCAACTCATTCGTTATTCAAGAGCTTGCAGCTGCTACTCAGACTTTATAAAACGTCACCAGTGTCTCAGCAGAAAGTTGATGAACCATGGTTATGTTAAAGAACGTTTCGTTCTTTTTTTAAAAAAGTTCATCGGAAGATACCAAGACCTTGTTGATAAATATTCCGTATTAACTTCACAAATAATACATGATGGTCTTGAAGTATAGATTCTTGGTACTGACGTTGTTTATCATCTTAATTACGTGTTATAGTGTTCTTTTATTTGTCTTTGTAAATTATTAACCTTTACTGTTTAGTTCATTTTCGGTAGTATCCTTTTGGCGTGAATCGGTACTTATACTTCCCGCCATTGTGTTATTGTACTATGGTCAATTTTTGTATTCATGTCTTTCATTTTTACTTATGTGCTTTGTCTATATGCCATTTTGTTTTTCTTTGTTGACATATTTGTTTGTTTTTATAGTGATTAAGATTATAACACAATGTTGACTGCTGTACCCCTTTTTGACATTTTTACCTATTATGTCTGTTTTGTTCACACATTGTTGTCAATATAATGGAATTTTATGTGACTGTCATACGAGTGAGAGGTTTAGCTAACTATTAACCCAAGTTTAATCCAACATTTTCTACATAAGAAAATGCCTGTACCAAGTCAGGAATATGACAGTTGTTTTCCGCTCGTTTGGTGTGTTTGAGCTTTTGATTTTGCCATTTTATAAGGGACTTCCCGTTTTGAATTCTCTTTGGAGTTCGGTATTTTTGTTATTTTACTTTTTAACAATAAACAATAATTTCAGAGGTGTTGCTACAGATTGGCTCTGTTGGAATATGTGGGTCTGACATTAAATATTGGAAATATGGAAAATGTGGTATATTCAATTTGGAAAAGCCGATGGTTATGGGACATGAAGCCAGTGGTACAGTAGTGCAGATTGGACCTGGTGTCAAACATTTAAAAGTGGGTAAGAATATATACACAAGCTTTTAAAAATTAATTTAATGAAGTAAGAAGGTATAACCGATTTTAATAGATTGGCATCTGGATAAAATTAATGTATGTAGAATGGTATCTGTAATCTCAGCAATAAAAACCAACTGGTTACAGTAACAGGTACTCAAATCATAACACTGTCAAGCGTTCAAATAAGATGGATAGTGGAAGACCTTATTTGTATGGAGGGGATTGTCATTTTACATTAAGTAGATATTAAAACAACAACAAAGTCATTAAAACCTTTTAGTAGAAGAGTTACCCAGTTATGCGATACGGATGATGTATACCACTGAATTAGCAACCAACCTTCCCTACATTTCAAGTAACAATTAAAACAGTATTTAATGATTTATGTCCATCCATCATCCATATGTTTGTTCGTTTTGTCATACATACCTGAACATGTACAAGTCCTTCGTAAATTTGGAAACATGTTTTTTTTTTTTTTGGTTGACATAACTCATCTTAGTTACAGACAATATGTATGTTTTTGAATATTTTTGACTACACTATAAGAGTTAACTATATAAAAATAAGGAGATAGAGTATGATTGCAAATCAGACAACTATGCACTAGAGTAGTCCAAATGATGTAAGCATCTGTCTGTATATCACTGTACGGCCTTCAAACATTAGCAAAACCTATGCCGTATAGTCAGTTATGAAAAGGTTCTCACATGACAAAATGTAAAACAATTTAAACGAGAAAACCAACAACCTGATTAACGGTAAAAATCAATTAACGAAAAACAGCAACCAATGACCACCACTAAATTGCAGGCTCCTGACTTTGGAAAGGCACATAAAGAATGTCGCGCCATGTTTGTGAGCTCTCAACACTCCCCTTACGTGGGATAGTGGTGAAACGGCGAAACATAAGAACAAATTCTTTACGTCAGTTGGAAATGGCTTAACTCAACATAGTGGTACGAAGCAAAAAATACAACTAACATAAAAACTTAACACACAAAGTACCGTTCTAAGAGCACTCGAGTCACTGAAAGCTAGATCAGAGCCTGTTGCAACTTAAAAATAAATCATGTTCTCCCAGACTAAGTATCAATCAGTACACATCCAACGGATTTAGTGTAAAGACGCAATAAATAGTAAAGAGAAAAGCATGACATTGTGCAATTTCTAACTATAAGCATATAAAGTATATGTTCTTCAACTGAGGACGAATTGGATAGTCCTGAGAGTTAAGATTTAAGGAACTGCCAGCAGTATCAGACACTTCTCAAAATAAAAAAATAACATTAGACAAGACGAAAATTAGGAAATAGTTTGTTCCATAGATCGCCAGTCCCGAGTGGTGATCCAGAAATATAGGCGGTCAGGACACAAAAAAAATTCCATATGTTGACCAGTGATCTTTGTTTTTATTCCATTTTTGTCTATTTTTACTGTCTTTTAGATTAAATTCGGCAAAATTTCTTTAATGTTTCACACTATTCCTGTGAGGCATTCTTAATCTTGTTATTTAAGGATGAATGCCTTAAAACGTTCTTATATTTGGAAACATGAACAAGTTTTCCGTCATTTACTCTACACAGACCTTTTCCTTACGTCATGTGTTTGTCGTGTATATGTAAGCCAAACAGTTTAGACCACGTTAGAATTTCATTAACAGCTACAGTTGTTGATATAAAGTGATAATTTATATGAAACAAAACATCACGATTAAAAGATATCGATTATACTTCCTTGAATATCTGCCCTTTCACATTTCCGTTCAAATCGGTAAATTAATACCCGTCTGACGAGATCCAATATCATATTAATTACAAAACGTGATTATCAAATTCCCAAAGGCTAATTCCTTTTTTACTGAACGATCTTGTAAGATTTGAAAGTAATGATAATCATTTATACCCTGTGATGACCTTAAACCAGCAAAGTACCATAAAAGCACAAAGCCAAAGGGAATTCATTAACTGTGTCTCTTATAAAGTAAATCTCCCGGATCAAGTTACGTCTAATTAATACCATTTTTATTAAGTATTACCGGTGTGAGTTGACTGTAAACAAAGACATTAAAGAAAGATCTGACAATAATCCTATAAATGTACTGCCAGATATAGACAATATAACAATACCGTCTCAATAATGTCTGTGTCGAAATATAAAAAAATAAACCTGTCGCTATAGTTCCACAAACCGTGATGAATAATTCATATCAAGCCTCCAAATTAATTCGTCAACTATATCATATTTATTAGAATTGATGAGATGTCTAACAATCGTCAACTTTCTCACTTCACCCTCACACAATCTATACATGTATGTAAATGAGTATTCACAGTTAGGATTTTTTTCCTGAACGGTAACTGCTTTTTTGGAATGTTAATGACTTTCAAATAAGACACACACACGCACACACACACACACACACACACACAATCAAACACATAGACAAAAAATCGAACAACGGACATTTAAAAAAAGTTACTAGTATCATTTTATCAATACTGTTGGACGAAAACCTTTATTTATGCAAAATCAACAAGAAACTGTTATTGTAACTATTAGAAGATCTTTGTTCATACATGGAAAGTTATATTTTCAGGGTAATGTAACATTTCTTTAGTGTACAAATATGCATACCCCTACAATGCAATTAGAAATAAATGCGTGTTATACAAGTAACATTTGATGTATGAATTACTTTATTTGTCTTTATATTAAAATACTCGAGTAAATACTCTTCCCCGACTACGCTCATACATGCACAAGGACTTACAAGTGCTTTAATTTAATTCATAACAATACTTATTTGTGCAAAAAAGTCACTTGCTAGTAATAAATGATGAATAATAAATTCATAGTTATTCCATTTCTAGTTTTTATTCATTTTCTGAAAATTCATAGGACGTGATGTTGACCGTTGATTGATTTGGCTACTTTTTAGGGCCTTTTTTGTTCATATAGCTCTTAAGCTGTTTCGGTTCTTATACATCATTGGCTTTCAAATATTCGGCTTTGAGCGATCCTGATGAAGGTAAATCCACAAAAGCGCTTCGGACGCATGAACTATATAACGTGTGTTTTTTTTTAAATTTTTCATGAAACTCGATATTGCATTTCTATTAATCGCGGGGCAGTATAGCACATTACATTTTATCTTGATAAATCAGCTGCAAGTTTATATAAGTTTTTTTTCTACAGGCGACAGAGCTGCTATTGAGCCTGGAGTACCTTGTCGTACCTGTAGGTTGTGTAAGTCTGGAAAGTATAACTTGTGTAAAGACATTTTCTTTTGTGCCACTCCCCCGGATGATGGAAATATATGCCGGTTCTATAAGCATGCAGCTGACTTTTGCTTTAAGTATGTATGTTTTAAATAAGAGAATAAAAATCGTCTTCATGATAATATTAATTAAGTATATACTATACAATTTGTTTATGAAAAAAAAAAAAAGTTAAATCACAAAAATACTGAACTTCAAGAAAAGTTCAAAATGGAAAGTCCCTAATTAAATGGCAAAATCAAAAGCACAAACACATCAAACGAATGGACAACAACTGTCATATTCCTAACTTGGTACAGGCATTTTCTTATGTAGAAAATGGTGGATTGAACCTGGTTTTATAGCGCTAAACCTCTCACCTGTACGACAGTCGCATCAAATTCCATTATATTGACAACGATGCGCTAACAAAATGTCACAAATAGGGGTACAACAACAACACGAACTCCACCAAAAATTTAAAGTAAAACGAAGACGGAATTGATGTATTTTGTTAAATGGGTACTGATAAAAATTCTAATAACAGGCTTCACCAATCACGTATGTATCGTAATCTCTTACGAGAAATAAAATTACCCCCAAGCAAAGAACATTTTTTGTTTGTGATGTCTCTATGATACCAAAAATGGCATTTGTGACACATATTTTGGACATATTCAAATGCGTCAAGGCCTTAAACAAAAAGATATTTCCATCCATTAACTTTTTTGTAAAATAAATCTTGTACATAGCAAAATATGTATTCTTAAAAATTCTAAAGATCTACTGCTAAATCTTAGATAACAATCTCTGCAATTTTGCAGCAACATTAAGACCATTAATGTTTTTACGCTTTACACTACTATTCCCCATGCTCAATTGAAAGATCGACTTCACCGTCTCATTAAACAGAGCTTTTTCTATAAATTTGGGAATCGTAGATATAAATTTCTTGTTTTGGGTTATAATAATTCTTATTTTGTGAAGAACCACGCTGATTCTTTCAGAAAATACACTGAAGATGATATTATCAAAATGCTTGACTTTTTTATCGACAATATATTTGTTGAGTTTGGAAGATTGATATTTCAACAGACAGTCGGTATTCCAATGGATACTAATTTTGCACCCTTACGGGCCGATTTGTTTTTGTACTCGTATGAAGCAAAATTCATTAAGAACCTTCTAAATGACAAAAGAAAAAGCACCTTGCGAAATTCTTTAATTTTACTTTCAGATATATTGATTATGTCCTATCACTGAATAACCCATATTGCAGTCAGTACTTACATCTCATATATCCCAGTGAACTTGAAATTAAGGATACTACTGATACTAGAAGGACTGCTTCATACCTTGATCTTTCCCTAAATATTGACACGGATGGACGACTTTTGGCTAAAACCTATGACAAACTGGATGATTTCAACTTCCCAATTATCAATTTCCATTTTCTCAGCAGTAACATACCATCTGCCCCGTCGTATGGTGTTTACATATCTCAATTGATACGTTATGCTCGTGCATGTTCATACTATACGGACTTCATATACAGGAGTGTGCTCCGTACGCAGAAACTGCTCCAACAGAGTTATGAGAGGAAAGATTAAAAATGACACTTCGTAAATTTTATGGACACTATCACGAATTGGTTGATCTATACGATGTGTCTGTGTCTAAATTAACTAACGACATTTTTACCACGTCTTAGATTGTGGTTTACCATCTACGTCGTCTGGTCTGCTTAGTACCGAACGTGACCTATCCCCGAATATGACTGTTTTGCCGAGTGTGAATTCGCATTGCTATACGACGTGTCTCGGTATTTACATATCCAACATTCATGTATTTAGTTATGATATTTCTTTTGTAAGTCCGGTTGGATATTTTGTTACTAGTATGTCTTATGTTCGCTGTCAGAGACAACGTGGTTCGGTATTTTGTATCCCATCCCGCTTTCGGGCATTTTGTTGTTACTTTCTTATACGTGTGGGTCCGGTTGGTTATTTTGTGCTGAGTTGTTGTCTGTTTATTTCGTTTGTGGTTTGAATTCTGTATTTTCGGTACATTTCGGTACATTTCACATATGTCTTATTTGTCAGTATAGTCGAGTTACTCGTGGTTCGTTGACATGGTTTTTTTATGTTGTGTGTTTTCATGTGTGTTTACTGTTTTGTTTTGCATGATTTTGCCTTATATTACAGTTATTTTTTTTTATTTTCTATATGTATGTAAAAAATCTGCTACTTCATTTATATGATTTTAAGTTTAAAGCAACGATATGCACAGGACGTTTTTGTTTATACACAGTTTTGATTTAGAAGAAAAACCGACATGGTTAGAAAATACAAATAATAACACCATTGCAATCACAATTCCATTGTAATATTTTTGTCATGGTTAGAAAATACATAAAATAACACCACTACAAACTCAATCCCAATTTATTATTCTTGTACATGTCTATGAATAAAACAAAAAAAAAAAAATTTATTTTTAGAAATTTACCTGTGATAATATAAATGTCACAAAAAATACGTCACTTTTTGTGACGTTGATCCATTCATGTGACGCGTAGTTTATATTTTGTTTGTGGTGTCCTGGTGTACTGTCGTAAATTCATGGGAGGTGTCCGTTGTTATTCTGGGGTTTACCTGTTGTAATGTACTATTATATTATTTATTTATGTATTTCTCTGTGCTGAGTGTTCTTGAGTTTGTTTGTACTGTATTCCTGTCACATAGTGTTATCATTTTAGCGGTATTTTTACCATTGCCATATAAGCGGGAGGTTTGGATAGCCATAAAACCAAGTTCAACCCACCATTGTTTCTTAAAATGTCCTGTACCAAGTCAGGAATATGGCAGTTGTTATCTAAAGTCCATTTCTATGTTTGTTGGCGTTTTCTTTTGTTGTAGTTCAGTCTTTCTATTGTTCCGTTGTTTTCCTCTTATAGTTGATGTGTTTCCCTTGGTTTTAGTCTGTTACCCAGATTTGTTTTTGCTCAATCGAATTATGACTATTGAACAGCGGTATATAACAGTTGCCTTTATTTGGATACAGCCTTAGCATATGTCTAAATATGAATAACAAGATTTCAAAATATGACGTATTTGGTTGGTTTTTTGCAGTTTTGTACTAAATCCAAGAAGCTTGAAGCCCTAATGCAAATATGTAAAACACAATTCAAAAATATAAATATTGATAATTTTGTTGTACCTGGTATGTCTTATTAACATCCGAAGGATGTTTGTTACATCTTTAACACTTTTTTATTCAAGGAGCTAAAAAAGTTGCTTTATCATACATTCTCCTTAACACGCATATTCTTTGTTTTTTCTACTTTTTGTTAGAAGAAACGGACATTAGTTATTGTTATATATGTATTACATTCTAATATGTCTGTGAAATTGACAATGCTGTATTAAAATAATACATGCACTATCATTATAATGTCTTCAACCTTGGCTACCTTTGTTCGCATATCCAATGTTAAATAACACATCATTATTCTATAATTATTATTAGCCTTATAATTATGACGTGAGTAGGTTCTTCATTACTATCAATCATCTAATAGTATATAATTCTCATGATTTGAATCCCTCACATGTTGATTGGCGCTAAAAATAAAAACTAATACCAGGTTAATAACGCTATCGAAAATAGTGCAATCGAACATGTTTTATATATGTGCCAAAACTGAGAACAAAAATTACACGCATTTATTCAAACTGTAACATTAACAATTTCAAAATAATAAAGTCACGGACCTGAATGTTTATACTTGAAAAACTTTCAATTAGCAAAGAAATGTAAATTAACTTCAATATTTAAATTATCCATCTGAGACGTATCTTGTTGTAAATTCTTTTGTGTATTCATTTAGTATAATTGCTCCACAAACCTCTTTTGTACTTTCATTTGACTTTGATGGTGACTTGAGCATTATTTAGTAGAAACAAATAGGTCAAATTTGCTACTGTTTTTTAATAAAACATGAAATCCATGAAATTCGTTTTATATAGTACCAAGGATTCATTTTCATATACAATTTTCAGTGTACTAAAATTATAATTGTAATAAAACTAAGGAATATACTCGCTCAGGTAAGGTGACGATTTTGGCTATCCTGTTCGTTCTAGCTTAGATGTTCTTCAATGTTGTAGAAGGGGGGCGAAAGATACCAAAGGGACATCCAAACTCATAAGTCGAAAATAAACTGACAACGCCATGGCTAAAAAAGAAAAAGACAAACAGACAAACAATAGTACAATTAAAACACAACATATAAAACTAATGACTGAGCAACTTTAATCCCACCAAAAACTGGGGGTGATCTCAGGTGCTCCGAAGGGTAAGCAGATAATGCTCCGAAGGGTAAGCAGATAATGCTCCACATGTGCCAACTATCGTGTTGCTCATGTTAACACAAACCCGGTAATAAGTCTAATTCGGTAGGTCACATTCGGGAAAAGGGGACGGGATTGTAGTTATGACATTAGGAACATATACGCTATCATCTGTGAAACGGATATTCCGTAACGGTCAACCAACTCGTGATGGCGTTCGAAAAATTTACGAAGGGATGATTTCAACTTCACCACTTGGAACTCTTGGTTTAATAGCTTCCTTGTGAGCAGCAACACTCTATCAAGGAAATCATGATAGGAAATACAAGCCCTGGAGTATCGTATCAACTGGGAGGTATATACTCCGTATGCAGGCGCTGCTGGAATGTTGCTACATAAAAATGGAAAGTTCACAATTGGGAAGCTGAAATCATCTCTTTTGTTATAAAGTTTTGTTTTCAACCGACCCTCATTGTCAATTTCTAGATGTAAGTCAAGATATGAGGCAGACTTAACTGTATCTGTTGTATCCTTTATCTCAAATTCGATGGGATAGATGCATTCAACATAGTCACCAATTTTTTATTTATTTAGTGAGAGAACATCATCTATGTAGCGGAAAGTAAAGTTAAAGGATACTGCTAACTTCTTTTCTTTCTTCCTAAGAAGTTCCTGTATGAAGTTAGCCTCATATGAATAAAGGAACAAGTTGGTATTTGTCTACCCTTATGATAGGTCTTTGATGATTATTAAATATTTTGTTTATTATTTATCTATTTTTGTTTGACTTCAAAGGCTTTTGTTTTCCAGCTTTTTTGATGAAAGTTATCATAGAGAAATATAAGTTGATATTATACATGTGTATTAAATAACCAAATGTTTATAGGATACGGTATATAATTCTTAGGCTGCCTGACAATGTATCTCTAGAAGAAGGAGCTTTACTTGAACCATTATCAGTAGCTGTGTATGCTTGCCAGAGAGGAAATGTTACACTTGGCTCAACTGTACTTATATGTGGTGCAGGTATTTGGTTTTATTTTATTTTATTTCAGAACATCATGCAAAAACTTTAAATTATTAAGATTACCTAAACAGTATTTGGCAAAGCCTTTTCGGAATTTTTGTTCCTCAATGATCTTCAAACTTTTACTTTATTTGACTTTTTTTAAAACTGTTTTGGTTCGAATGTCACTGATGAGGACTTTATAGACGAAACGCGTCTGGTTTTCAAACTTTTAATCCTGGTATCTATGATGAGTTTATATATATTAACACATAATGATTTTCATCCTATGTACTATTTGTTTCCTTTAATCTATTTATTGCCTTGATTATGCATGCTACACATTGGACATCAAATATAATACAATCCACTGAATCAACTTAAGCTATAATATTCCTCTCGTGTCCAAATGTGTCGTTAAAACTTCCGTTACATATCCTGAATAGTTTGAACATTAGTGTAAAATGATCCGACTCAACTAATCAGAAAAGTAATAAAAAAAATTCATTCCTACAATGCATCTGAAAGTGGTATAATAATAAATGTTCGCGGAAAAAGTAATTATTTTGAAATATTTATTCATAAATTGAGGGAAACACTTTATTCGGATCTATTTTGATTTTAAACATATTTTATCATTAGAATACGAAAAAGATTGAGCAACAGGCACAGCCAATAAAAGCTCTCTCTACATTATATGTACAAAATCTATTTTAGTAAATGTAATGGTATGTATGCTGTTACACTTCCAGGTCCTGTTGGCGTTCTAACACTATTGGCTGCAAAACATATGGGTGCTTCATGTGTTGTGATAACAGGTATGATCACACACTATGTTCTTCCTTTCTTTTGGAAACCTTGAACAAGAAGTATAAATCTAATCGATTCAAATGTGTACATACTTACCTGTAACAAATAACATACAGTTAAATCTCTACATAAACATGATAGAGTATGCAAGCATACATTTCTTTTTTATTCTCTCGATCAAGTATGAAGCAAAATGTTGCACATGATAAGTTTATATTGCTACTACTGGGGAGAGGGGATCCCAAAAACAAAATGATTTATTAAACTTTTCTGCTGCCTAATGTTTGCAATAACAATAAGCCTAACACAAAACCAGTTTCGACTTTGGACGATTGAGATGCAGATATCGACATAGTGTATAGACACCTGTCAATTGTAGTGTAATGTCTTTTTGTCATTTGTATCGTTGCTTGGTTCATTGACGTATACCTCCATACACATTTGTTCTAATACAGATATCGATGAAGAAAGACTTGATTTTGCACGATTAAAGGGAGCCGACCATGCGATAAAAGTAAACACGATTGATCCCAAGGAATTTGCTGAGTTTGTTATCGACAAGGTCGGCTTTCAGCTTGATGCTACGATAGAATGTAGTGGAACAGATTTCAGTTTTTCAATGGGTATTCATGTAAGTGTTTGTAAACAATTGAGGCAATATTGTAACAATAGATCTTTTAAAAGAAGACTTCCGGATTTAGACGAAATAATCTGAACTAAAATCGTTGCTTCGTAAATGTCAGCTTTGAATTTTACGGCTTAGCCTAAATGTGGGAATAAGATTAAAAAATTATTGTCCAAAACTCAAAATTTACGATATATAAATACCACCTGTATTAAGCAAATAGGATATACAATGGGCGAAGAGTTTAGATTTAAAAAATATGTCCTGTATGAAGTTACTCGTTAAAAGATGTTCACTGATATTAAAAAATTAACAAATAGAAGATATAAAGCAGAAATAATGAATTCCTGTTAAAAATTTAAAAATGGCGTCTCATAAATATATTCAATGTCACAGAAACAAGCAGAAGAACGTCTTCTATTGCAAAACGTCTGGGACAACAGCCTGATTCAGTGTATTTGGTTTCCTACCGTGTGGAAGGGATACTAAGAAGGCTACACTAACTAATTTTAATGCAAATATTTTGAATTAATGTTTCCATATGATTACAGGCAACATACCCAGGAGGGAGTGTGGTGATGGTTGGTCGTTGTCAGGGTAACACATCTATTCCTTATAATATAGCAGCAACAAAGCAAGTTGATATAAAAGGACTATTCAGATATGTTAACTGGTAAGTCTTGTTTTTATAAACTTGACTATTTTAACACATTAAAAGGATATGGATATGATGAAATGAAATTACAATTTTATTGAAATGGCTCCGACATGAAAAATTTTAAAAATTCAAACGGGAAATCAAACAGTGTAAATTATTGTTGGTTTATTAAACGGTATCAGTGGTCTAATGGTTAACGCGCTCGCCTCGAGTGCGGGAGGTCGTGGGTTCGATCCTCGGCCGGCTGAAACTCGAATATATGGTATATACTACTTTTAAATGAAATACGCGACAATAAGAAGTAAGATCAAAGACTGATTGACTCAGAGTCAAAATAATGTGTTCTGGTAGGATGGAAAGTCTCCCTGCGGACTGTTACGTTACTTTGTAAACAGGCACGCTAAAATTCCGCCTATGCGTGTTGGTCTAGCAAAAAGGAGGGTTCATAATCGTATATTATTAACATGGTCTCGTCCTAATATGCATGTAACATTTGCCATTGGATGTGCAACACCAATCCATCACATTGTCAACTTAATCAATGGCCATTAACTTCAACTGACAACCACAACACTACCTGAAAAAATATATATCGAACTACGGAAGGAAATAAAGTGTTTATGAATCTGTTGCTTAACTTACAGTGGCAAATATTTCATGCACATTCTGGACGAAAAAAAAAATAAATACAACAAATAGGTTCTTCAAAGTGGGTCGACAGAGATGAATGACATTCCACTGAAAATTGAGAGCATATTGGATAAGAGCAGAAATCTTACCTTGCAATATGCATCTACAAACTCTCTGAGATAATTCCAAGGGCTCTGACCGGACACAACTATGTTTTTTTACATCCTGCACAGCCAAACGGACAATCATGTTAAGCAAGGGTTTTTATAAAGGGCGGGAGAATTCCAGGCGACCATATTTCTACACCCCAATATCTCAAATTATAGTACTTCAATAGAATCTTAAAATGAAATCAAACAATGGTATAGGTATAATAACATATTAGTGTTCACGTTTATATGTTTTATACTTTTTCAATCTTTTGATATCTAGCATCATTGATGAAGTTTTTCACGACACATGTGACGTACTAATTTTACATTTTGTCTATAATCAAAAATGTCAATGTCGTAATGTATGTTTTGCATATCAAAATTGATACCAATTTCTTCAAAACATTTTGAAGTGCGTAGGTTTAATATCTTATCTAGCTGGGTATAAAATAAGGACTGTGATCTTCACAAGGGTAATTCAAATATGGACAGTTTGATCAGTCTGATATATGACGAAGTTGCAAGTGGTAATCTCAATTTGTGGCTTCATTTTTCAATTTACAGTGTGTAATATTTCCTTTTCTTTTCCCAATATTGAAATAATCAGATGTCTCTTTTCAGTTTGAATTGACTTTCTCTTCAATACTTCAACACACTGATCAAATTGTTTGAAAGAAGTAAAGCCATGTATAAGGCTATCGTGCAATTTACTTTGTAAAAACACACTTAAGATATTCCAAATGAAAGCCTAAAGTTGGCAATCGATGTTTCGTTGCCAAGGTTACAAGTATGTACATTTTACCGATTAGGTTGAAAAAGGATATAAGTAGTTAGGAGCATACATATTCATTATTATGTTTACCTGTTTTAAGCTTTTTTTCTGGTTCCCTGTATTAAAGTTCCTTTGTAAGATTTAAATGCAATGCATTCACTCCCTTTATAATTCTACTTATTTGGACACTGTCTAATAAATTAACTTTAACCGTTTTATAGGTTATAACAAAGTATTAGTATGATCACAGTATTTAAAAATATAATATTCATTAACTTTTGAATTTGTTGTGTCCGGATCTAAAGGGTTATAGCTAGTTTTAGTGTTTGTACAACAGATTTTGAGGAGTAATACCACCATTGTTTTCCCCCTAGTTAGTCTTTGTTAAATTGTCATTTTTCAAAACATTATGCAGAATTTATCTTTGTTTCAAATAGAAAATACTAGGCATGAGTAAAGTTTTATCCTGTCCAGTACTACAGTGAAAATTTCACATAACATTTCAATGCATATAAGATAATAACCACCACTGGAAGTAAACCAATCAAATGTTCGCCCTTTTTCTCCTGTTAACGAGCTTAAGTAACCATGTCATCTCAAGTTAACACCAAATTAAAAGAGAATGGTACTTGAAACGCCCAAGTAATATGTTTATGACTCAGAATTTTTGTTCTGCAATGAAATTCAGGGTCAATTTTCCACTTCTTTCAAATTCAAGGGAATATTTATAGTCGACCCTTTTTCGTATGAAACCGGATGTGACGTTATAGTGTTATTGAAATTTCCTGTTACAAAATGTTTGAAATTATTTAAAATTAAGGAATGTATCTCCCTCATGCAAAGCTCTGATTCCCTGCCCGGCTTTGGCTATACTTTTTTGTCCTTTTTGGCTTATAGCTCTTCATCTTTTTAATATGCTTTGGATTTTCAAATATTTTGACCTTGAGCATCACTGAAGAGACATTGATTGTCGAAATGTGCATCTGGTGCAGAAAAATTGGTACCGTTTATGTTAGTACTATGATTTAGTGGTATTACACCTTGAATGATGTTACCTGGTTGTTTGAATGTCCATCGTTCACCTATCACAAAATCATTTATATCAATGCTTTTTGCTCTTAAATCTGAAATAGAACTGAATTTACAGGGGAATTGATTGGAAATTGTTCTCCTTTTTTTAAACACACATAAACATTCCAAATCAGGGCTTGGTTTTCTTTTATCGTTTTCGGTGTTGAAATTTTCTATTTTGTTTTAGCTATCCTACAGCATTATACATGGTAGAGAGTGGTAAGATAGATCTTAAAGACTTTGTGACGCACCGTTTTGACATGACTGAAACTGTTAAGGCTTTTGAAACTGTCGATGATAAAGCCACGAAAGCCATTAAAGTCATTATCAATTGTAATTAAAATACTTAAAATTTCATTATGCTAATCTTCATTATATAGATCTATTTGATTGTTATACAAACGTTATTTCCTATCCAAAAGTTGCATTTTATTCCCTTTTTTGATTGAGTGACAATATGATAATTGTCTCTCATAACAATGTATTTACATGTTTGATGAGTGTCTATGCAGCCGATAGGGAGTACCTATGAACTAGAAATGCAACCGTTAAATGATAATCAGAAACAAAAATTAGAGAACAATATGTAATAACCCATATAAAAAGAAACCAGACAGGCACATGAACCAGCAAAAAAACATACAGAATGAAAAATAAAAAGCAACGAGACAGGCGCACAGACCAACAAAAAAGGCAAATAGATAAATTAAAAGCAATTAAAAGAAATGAGACTGGCGTATTGACAACCAAAACAGACGCATACTTTAAAAAACATCGAGACAGCCACAAGGACCGAGAAAAACAGACAGATAGATAAATAAAAAGTAACGAGACAGGAGCACGGATCAACAAAAACAGATTGAGGGATAAATGAATGCAACTAAACAGTCGGACGTACAAACAGAAACTGGAAGATAGATAAATAAAACGCAACGAGACAGGCACAACGAGACTTATACAAACAGATGAATAAATAAATAAATAGCATGCGCTCAAACCAATAAAAGTAGAAGCATAGATAAATAAAAAGCAACAAGACAGATTCACGGAAAACAAAAACAAAAGCATGCATGAATAATATACATCGAAACAAGCAGACGAACCAACAAAAACTGGCAGATAGATAAAAAAAAACAACGAGTCAGGTGCACGTACCAACAAAAATACTCAGATAGCTGAATAAAAATCTACAAGACAGGCGCACTGACCATAGTTAAATTAAAAAAAAACAGGAGCATGGATCAAACACATGCATAAGAACAGCTTACACGTGAAATAAAAACTACAATGAAATGCCATCAAAACCGAGAGTTATATCAGATGCTTTAGAAGAGTAAGCATATCCTGTCTCGGAGGCTATACCCGTCGCTGAGGTGAAAGCCGGTTATAGATAAAATTATTTCAAATTATGTAAAAGGAAAGTAAAGCACATGGCAAAAACAATCTATCAATTTCTACAACAACCATTAGAAATATTCCATTTTGTGATGGCGACTGTAAACTCTTAGAAGTGATGATGATATTAGTGTAGATTGAATATAACAATGGCCAACAAATTTACATGACATCAACTGTATTCCCCCTGTCACTGTATTGCAATAACGAATCGGATGTGACATATATGTATACATACACCATAGGCAGGTTGTGCAGGAACATTACCACGTAGAAAAGAAAAATCACTTTTTGGATTCTAAGATCATCAAGTTTGTCCGAAACTTGTGTTAAAGCGTTTTTGGTGTCTATTGATATTCGCAAGTCCAGTTTACCGTTTATATAATACCGATAGATTGAAAACCTATAAAATACTGTTTCTCTGATACTATCATAATGTTAGACATAACGGAGCTTTTTGTTCGTGCTTTTTATGTTTAACGTACGTTAACGATTTAAATATTTCCTTGGTTAATTGCAATCTAATTAAAATTAAATCTCCGCACTTGCTCCTCGTTGTTTATATGTCGCGCGTGGGAGATCTAACAACAGCCGCTTGAGGGTCATGTCTAGGGTCAAATTTGCTGTAGCCAATCAGCGAAGGTGCTACAAAGTGTTAGGGTATTGGACTGGCATAGGAGTCTTATTAGCGTCTAGAGGTCTTCCGAATGTATATAAACAAAAATGGCAGCCCCCATGCGAAAAACGTTTCGTAACATACAACTGTAATAATAGTTTGTATTATTGCCTTCCGAGGTTAAAATGGCATCAAGTGAAGTATGCACCCCAAGGAAAATATCAGTATGAACAAACATTTGTGTTTTATGCGGTTTTTCTTTCATCCAGATAGAAATCTCCTCAACGGGAGAACGTGTTGAAAAAAAACTGTTCAAACTGAAACTTCAGCAGAACTCGGGGAGAATCGCAATAATTTCTAGTGTTGTTACTGGTTTTGAAGTAAACGCCGTAGTAGACAATGACAATGGCGTCTGTATTAAATGTTTTAGAAAAGTCCAACAGTCAATCAAATTAAAGAAAGATGCATTAAAAATTCAAGAAGAACTAAGTGACTAACTTCGGGTGTCTTACCACATGACCAATCAGAAAGATTAATTGCTAATAGATTTGTTAATCTGCAAGGTGGAACAAACAATAATATAAGCTTAGATGAATACTTGAGAGATGTTGAACAAGGATACAAAAGTAACATGTTCAGGACATCAGACAAAGGAAAGTATCCTTCAACACTCTAAAGAGTATCCTCACCTAGTTAATTTTGCAAGCCATTTTGATAACATTACCAATTTAACAGGAAAGAAGGGGTTCCACCATATACGGTCATACCAAGCTGATGTTCAGAAAATTGCAAAAGACCTACTACAAGAAAATGTACTACATGTAACATATAAAACTTCAAGAATAATAACAATTAAGTGCAAGGAGCTAAAAAAAGACAAAAACCCATTTGACATTGCATTTATAGGACTTCGTACATTGATTCATCGCCGTGACATCAACCAACAGTCCCCTTCCATCGCCTTCAAATCCACATATTTGAAAAATATTGCTTGGAATTAAATTATTGTGAATAAAGTGTGCAGGTTTAATTTTCTCTTAAGTCATAACCTTAATTAGCTGGTACTTTTTTAGTAGTTTGTTGCTGATATTAAAGTGTCATAAGTCAATGAGACATCAACCCAACAAACAAAGTAATGAAATACTTTCAGTTTAGTTGCAGAATATCATGGTCATTTTGATTACCGGTAGGCAGCATAACTACCTACAAAAACATGTTTATATAAATGTGGCATGATTTCTAATGAGACAACTATTCAAAAGGGACCAACTTATTTTTCTGTATTAAAGTTCACAGTTCCACCTCTGACTTTGAGTAAAACCTATAGCAAGCTGTACAAAGACCCGAAATGACCTTATGAAAACATCAAGCACGTATGTACAAAACAACAATGAGATAAAAACCAAACTTTTACAGATTTGTTCACAAGGCGACCAGCATGCAGATATTTACCCTATATGTACATGTAAAGAGCTGTTGATAAAACTTATACAAGGTGGTGTTGGTTAAATGTGCTTTCCTGAGTGATGAAGTTATTAGTGCACATTATTTGGTTCAATTTCTATCTTAGTCAAATTAAACACAGTAACTTAATATAATAAAATGCTCTGCTGGGCCCAGCTTGATACGACTGCAGAGGCCGAACCCTGAACAGTTGGGGCAAGTATGGACACAACAGTCAAGCTTGATACAGCACTGAATTTGGATTGTGATTAAATATTTGACACAGCATAGGTTTCTGACACAGAATAAATGTGGTCTAAGAACTTATAAATTTTTAATTTACCTATTCAAACACAAGTTATTGACTGGAAACTAGAAAAATGCTTGTTTTTTGGCCCCTTTTTGGTTCAAAATTCCTAAACATTTAGGGAAATTATCCCCAAACTCAAACCTAGCTTTCCCTTTGTGATATGGAACCTTGTAGTACAATTTCAGAAAGATCCATACACTTACAAGTTATTGTCATGAAACTAGAAAAATGCTTGTTTTTTGGCCCTTAATTACTAAAATTTTGAGGCAATTACCCCCAAAATCAATCCCAGCCTTCCCCTTTGTGATATGGAACCTTGTGGTACAATGTCAGAGAGATCCATACACTAACACACAAGTAATGTCTGGAAGTTACAAAAATGCTTATTTTTGGCCCCTAATTCCTGAACTGTTGGTACCATAACCACCCCAAAATCAATCCCCACCTTACTTTTGTGGTATTGAACCTTATGGTAAAATTTCATGGAGATCCATTTACTTAAACTAAAGTAAGAGTGCGAAAACCAATGTGTCTTCGGACGACGACGCCAACTTCATACCAATATACGACCGCAAAATTATTTTGTGGTCGTATAAAAAAGAAGATGTGGTATTAAGTCTATATTTGACTGTTTTCTTGATGAACACATTGGTCTTGAACAAAGTTGTAAGTAAGATATAGTCCCACTTCATGTTATTGTCTTGAATATGCATGAGATATTTGCCACTGAAACCCAAGTGAAGAAATCAAAAATCAATCAACCTATCAATGTTCATTTTGAGCAAAAATAATCATCCTCTATGTATACTGTTGGTTACACCAAGTTAAATACAATGAGTTTGCTATATAGAACAAATATAACATCATCAAGAACAATGAACAAAAAGGTCAAAGTCATACATGTCATAGGAACCATGCCAAAACTTAGCACAAAAGGACATACATCAATAGCAATAATTCTATACACCAAAGATAGTTGACTTGTTGATCAATAAACCATGAAAAGTCAAGGTCAGAAACCAACCAGAGTGATTTTTATAGTTCGTTCCTGTGTTGTACTGTTACACCACTGTCCCAGGTTAGGATGTTGCTAACATGTTTAACCCCGCCACATTCTGTATGTATGTGCCTGTCCTAAATCAGGAGTCTTAGGTAATTCAGTGGTTGTCGTTTCTTTATGTGTTACATATTTGTTTTTCGTTCATTTTTTGTACATAAATTAGGCCGTTAGTTTTCGTTTGAATTGTTTTACATTTGTCATTTCAGGGCCTTTTATAGCTGACTATGCGGTATCGGCTTTGCTCATTGTTGAAGGCCGTACAGTGACCTATAGTTGTTACTTTCTGTGTCATTTGGTCTCTTGTGGAGAGTTGTCTAATCATGCTCATTGGCTATCATTCCACATCTTCTTTTTTATATAACATGTACATCTGACAATAATTCCACACCAAATATATTTTTCTGTTTGTTTATCATGTTTATAGTAATCGAGATGCAGACTTGACCCCGAATATATGCTTGTTTCATGAAATGAGGTCAAGATTAGGCGAATCTGCAACCATATCTGACAGACATGGCAGACATGGTTT